AATCTGAAGTTAAAGTATAGCGATCAAGGTCAGGAAGGCTGTGTAGTTTAGAATGTCGCAATTTCGGACAGGGAAGGAAAGCATATAGTGAGTTTGAATACATATTGTAGTTGCTATTGTGAATAGAGTAAAAGTTTGAGAGACGTGCTGGCTGAACAAATAAGGAAAGTGAAATACAAGCGGTCAGAAAAATAATACCGGGTCAATGGACCTAATGAAGGATTCGAATTTTCACTCAGTTTGGCATAGCAACCATTCAATTACATGGCTTTAATACTTGTCTCCGAAGTTTTCTCTTTTGATTAGTTTTCTAACGAACATTTACCATTTGTTTTAGTAAAGCGAGTTTCAGGCATATTTGATATCATTCTCTTAGTACTGGTAATGGCTCTCACAAAAGTTGTTCTACCTTTTGTAAAAAACAAAACGAATAACGGTGACATTAACATCAATCAACTGGGTGGTTTGCTTTTATTAGCAGTCCACTCCTATATTCTCACAGATGTGAAAGAAAAAATGAAAAGTTCTCAGTTGACAACCTACTCACCTGTTTTTATTACAAAAGCGCTTGTTCTGATTGGCTCATACGCTCGATCCATTTCCCCGTGTATTGCACGCTGACGTCAGTTTGTTTTGCTTTTTTTTTTCCCGGCAACTTTTTCGTCGATGTTGCCACTACATACAACATAATCCCTGTTTTATGTGGGATTTTTGCTAGTGGAATATGAAAAAATCTTGCAATTTTTCCGGAGATGAGGAAGATGATTCATGCGAGCAGCGAAATTTTGAGCTAAATTTTTTTTTGACGGGTCTCCAGCTAAGAGTTCGAGATTTGGGAACTTAAGCGAGCAGGAGCTTAACCAGCTGGTTGAACAAAGACACTGAGAAAAGACCAAGAAAACAACAAACTGGTCTGTATCAACCCTTTGAGGTGAGTAATAAATAGCATCAATTTTAGAAAGTGTGTTTCAGCGATTTAGCAATAATAAAATTCTGTACAAGCGTTCACTGTAAAACTTTTCCGGCGTAGGAAACCATTTAAATGCTTCCGGCGATCAAAACTGTACTTGTGAGTTGTTCAAAATGTACTTTCCTAGAAGCCTTAGTTGTCTCTTCTTTCACTGTACTAAATAAATTGTTAGTCCGAGATCGAAAGAACGCAAATTATCTCACCGCAATGATTCAGGAAAATTGTTGCTGTGTCGCTTTGTTAGTTTTTGAACGAACATTTTCGCGCGCTGATTGTGCAAGTAAACAGAACGAATTTCAATAAATATTTATACACGAAACGAAAGATGTTTGAAAGTCTCAATGTTATAAAAGAAATGGTTAGCGTGCAACGTGCAACCATCGAGTAATGGNGTAAACCACCAAATTCAATTTGTAAAAGCCAATGTCATCTTTCCAAAAAGCTGTCATGACGACGTCAACTTGTCCTTGATGATCAAGTATTCATTACACTTTCCCATCTTATGGCCACAACAGTTCCCCAAAAATCTGATTGTTGTACTTGCCTGGTCTATTGTCCACGTAAACACTGCTTGGAGGTGGTGCTGTTTGCGTGGTTGTCGGAGATACTTCACCTCCATCTACTGCCGATGAAGTTTCTCCTCCTCCAGCTGTTGAGGTTGTTGCTCCAATTCCTGTCGTAGTGATTGCGATAACACTCACTGACGCTGTGCTGGTTACTGCTCCTCCGGTTACTGCTGTATTAGTACCTTCACTCCCGACTACTGCCGAGCTGGTTACTGAAGTGGCTGTCTCTTCTCCTGCTGTAGTCGTTACTCCACGTCCAACCACTCCTGTAGTAGCCACTCCATCGCCGGACACTGCCGAGGTAGTTACTCCTCCTGCTGCATCTCCAGTGGTCGTTACTCCTCCTCCAACCACTCCCGTAGTAGTCACTCCATCGCCGGATACTGCCGAGCTGGCTACTGAAGTGGGTGTCTCTTCTCCTGCTGCGGTCGTTACTACTCCTCCAACCACTCCTGTAGCAGTCACTCCATCGCCGAACACTGCCGAGGTAGTTACTCCTCCTGTTGTAGTTGAAGTGGCAATTACGTTTCCCTCGCTTGATACAGTGGTAGTTACTTCTCCACTACCAGCTGTAGTGGATGATACACCACCTCCGCCTGCAGTAGCATTTACCACATCTGCAGATACTATAGATGTGTTTGCAACGGCTGCGGTGGTAGTTCCTTCAACTCCAGCCATTGTGGTTGGGCTGGATGCGATATAAGTGGTTGTAGCGGAATCTGAAGTTAAAGTATAGCGATCAAGGTCAGGAAGGCTGTGTAGTTTAGAATGTCGCAATTTCGGACAGGGAAGGAAAGCATATAGTGAGTTTAAATACATATTGTAGTTGCCATTGTGAATAGAGTAAAAGTTTGAGAGACGTGCTGGCTGAACAAATAAGGAAAGTGAAATACAAGCGGTCAGAAAAATAATACCGGGTCAATGGACCTAATGAAGGATTCGAATTTTCACTCAGTTTGGCATAGCAACCATTCAATTACATGGCTTTAATACTTGTCTCCGAAGTTTTCTCTTTTGATTAGTTTTCTAACGAACATTTACCATTTGTTTTAGTAAAGCGAGTTTCAGGCATATTTGATATCATTCTCTTAGTACTGGTAATGGCTCTCACAAAAGTTGTTCTACCTTTTGTAAAAAACAAAACGAATAACGGTGACATTAACATCAATCAACTGGGTGGTTTGCTTTTATTAGCAGTCCACTCCTATATTCTCACAGATGTGAAAGAAAAAATGAAAAGTTCTCAGTTGACAACCTACTCACCTGTTTTTATTACAAAAGCGCTTGTTCTGATTGGCTCATACGCTCGATCCATTTCCCCGTGTATTGCACGCTGACGTCAGTTTGTTTTGCTTTTTTTTTTCCCGGCAACTTTTTCGTCGATGTTGCCACTACATACAACATAATCCCTGTTTTATGTGGGATTTTTGCTAGTGGAATATGAAAAAATCTTGCAATTTTTCCGGAGATGAGGAAGATGATTCATGCGAGCAGCGAAATTTTGAGCTAAATTTTTTTTTGACGGGTCTCCAGCTAAGAGTTCGAGATTTGGGAACTTAAGCGAGCAGGAGCTTAACCAGCTGGTTGAACAAAGACACTGAGAAAAGACCAAGAAAACAACAAACTGGTCTGTATCAACCCTTTGAGGTGAGTAATAAATAGCATCAATTTTAGAAAGTGTGTTTC